GATGTAACCCTACTGTGAGTGGAGAAGCATCTGTACAGATATTTTTGTCAAAATGGTGGGCACTATTTTCTGCTCACACTCTGCTTTAGTAAAGCAATGTGAACCACTGAGAATAACACACAGGGTACCTAGTAAGTGCCATTAGAAACCAAGTAAACAAGTATCAATGGGCAAAATCAGTAGTTCGCTTTCTTATATAATTGGCCTAACATTGATTTTCTTAAGCAATAAGCAATTTCATGACACCAAAAGAACTCTCTTTTAGGGAGTCTACAGCCTAGTTGGAAAGAAGGTAGACATGCAAACGAATGGCATCTGTATGACAGGCCATATATTACAGTGGTAAAGAGTCCAGGTTTGGGAGAGATACAAACCTGAGTTTGAATCCAAGCTAGGACACTTACTAGGTGCACGGTCTCTTACAGCTTCTGTTTCATCAACTGAAAAATGCGACCACTGATACCTCAACTCATAGTGATATGAGGATTAAATAAGCCATTACATATAAAATACTAGTCACCGGCAAAGAATGGAATCTCAGTATGTGAGCTGTTAGGAGAAAGGCAACATGCAAGGTAGAAAAGGAGCACCAAAGAAGGAGGTCTAAGAAAGTTTTTGACTCAAGAAACCTCTGTTGGTAATATTCTGTGAGAATCCAGTTATGGGTCTCATGATGTGAAAAACTGATCTGAAGAGCTCCACTTCTGCTAATGATTACCTAAGTAGGATCAAGCCTTCCACTGAGGAAACTGAGGGGACCCCCCCCGCCATAGAAAAAAAAAACGGTTCAAAGATGCTGGAGAATTAACAGGGCAGTGAAGAATTATGGTATCCAGATCTAGAAGAGGAAAATCCAGAGACGGGCACCTAGCATTTGGGACCATCTTTCCCCTGGGGCATCTGCAGATTCTGGAAGAGGGAACTGAAAGTTTGAGGAACTAAGCCTTGACTTACTAGTACTTTGTTACTGATTTTGGGTCTATATCAAGAGGCATGTCTGTAGTTTTATTTTCTTGTATGTGTTTGTCTGGTTTTGTTTATAAAATGAGTTGGGAATTATTCCTCCCCTTTCTGTTTTCTGGAAAAGGTGGTGCAGAATTTGGTATTATTTCTTCTTCAAATGACTATAAGAATACAGTTAAATTATCTGGGCTGGGAGATTTCTTTTTCAGGAGGTTTTGAACTGTGAATTCAATTTTCTTTAATAGACATCTGACTATTCAGGTTATGTATTTCTTCTTAGGTGAGTTTTATTTATTTGTGACTTTAAAGGAAATTGGTCCATTTCATTGAGGTCACCACATTTGTGTGTGTATATGTTATTTGTAGCATTCCTTTATTAATTCATGAATATCTAATGCCCCTTGAGTCATCCTTTTTAATCCATTGATTATTTAGAAGTGTGTTGTTTAATACCCAAGTGTGTGGAGATTTTCCAGTTGTCTTTCTTGTATTGATTTCTACATTAATTCCATTTTGTTTACAGAACATACTTTGTAGTATTTTAAGTCTTTTCTTTTTAAACAGGCTTACTGAAATATATTTCACATATCATATGATTGTTCCTTTAAAAATGTACAATTCAAGGGTTTTTAACATTCACAGAGCTGTATAACCATCACTACAATTAATATAGGGACACTTTCATTACCTAAAAAAGACTCCATACCCGTTAGTACTCATTCCTCATTTTACCACAGGCTCTCCACAGATTACGCAACCATTAACCTATTTCCTGTTTCTATACATTTGTCTATTCTGGACAACTCATATAAACGAATTCATACAATATGTTGTGTTTTGTGACTGGCATCTTTTACTTCACATAAGGTTTTTAAGATCCAATCATGTGTAGTATGTATTAGTACTTCATTTTTCTTTACTGCTGTATAATACTTGATTATATGAATAGATCACATTTGTTTATCTTGGGCTGATCCCAACTTTTGGCTATTATGAATGATGCTGCTATGAAAATGGGTGTACAAGTTTTTGTATGGATCTGTTTTCATGTATCTTGGGTATATACCTAGGAGTGGAATTGCTAGGCCATATGATAACTCTATTATTTAACCATGTGAGGAAATGTCAGACTTTTCCATACGGCTGCACCATTTTACATTCCTATGAGTGTTCCGATTTCTCCACATGCTTGGCAGCACCTGTTATTATCTGACTCTTTGGTAACTATCTTAGTGTGAAGTGGTATCTCATTGTGGGTTGTCTTTTTACTTTCTTGATCATATCTTTTGAAGCATAAAAGCATTAATTTTTTCTTTTTTTTGAGATGGGGTCTTACTCTGTCACCCAGGTTGGAGTACAGTGATGTCATCTCAACTCACCGCAACCTCTGCCTCCCAGGCTCAAGTGATCCTCCTGCCTCAGCCTCCCAAGTAACTGGGACGACAGGCGCGTGCCACTGTGCCTGGCTAAATTTTGTTATTTCTGGTAGAGATGGAGTTTCACCATGTTGCCCAGGCTGGTATTGAATTCCTGAGCTCAGGCAATCCACCTGCCTTGGCCTTCCAAAGTGCTGGGAATACTGGCGTGAGTCACTGCACCCAGTCAAAAGTTTAAAATTTTGAAGTCCAATTCATTGATTTTTTCCTTTTGATACTTATGCTTTTGGTGTCACATCTAAGAAACTGCCTAACCAAGGTTGTGAAAATTTACTCCTCTATTTTCTTCTAAATTTTTTATAGTATTAGCTCTTACATTCTGTGCTGTGATCCATTTGACTTAATTTTTGTAGTATGTGAACTAGGGGTCCAAATTAAGGTTGGTGCAAAAGTAACTGCAGTTTTTGCCATCGAAAGAAATTGCAAAAACCACAATTACTTTTGCACCAATCTAATATTATTTTGTATGATACTCAATTGTTCTGGCACTATTTATTAAAAACTGTTTTTCCCCCATTGGATTGTCTTGGCATCCAGCATCCTTGTTGAAAATCAATTAGCCATAAATGTGTGGGTATATTTCTGAACTCTCAATTCAATTTTATTTTTATGTCTATCATGATACAAGTACCACACAGTCTTGTTTACTATCACTTTGTAGTGAAATATTTTGGAACAGGGAAGTGTGAATCCTACATTTTTTCTGTACTTTTTCAGCATTGTTTTGGTTACTGTGGTCCCTTTGTATTTCCATAGGAATTCAATATTTGGTTTTTCCATTTCTGGGAAAAAAAAAAAACCATCGAAAAACAAAAAAAGTTTTTGACTCAAAGTAACTAGTATTTTGTTAGGAATCTGTAGATCAGTTTGGGAACTACTGCCATCTTAACAATGATCCATGAACATGGGATGTCTTCATTTCATTTTTTTTTTTTTTTTTTTTCTGTGATGGAGTTTTGCTCTTGTCACCCAGGCTGGAGTGCAATGGTGCAATCTCAGCTCACTACAACCTCCACCTCCTGGGTTCAAGCAATTCTCCTGCCTCAGCCTCCCATGTAGCTGGGATTATAGGCATTTATCACCACGCCTGGCTAATTTTTTATATTTTTAGTAGAGATGGGGTTTCATCATGTTGGCCAGGTTGGTCTCGAACTCCTGATCTCAGATGATCTGCCCACTTTGGCTTCCCAAAGTGTGAAATTACAGGTGTGAGCCACTGCAACCCAGCCAAAAATCCAAAACTTTTCGAGTACCAACAAGATACTCAAAACTCATACTCAAAGGAAATACTCACTGGAGCATTTGGATTTCAGATTTGGGGTGCTCACTGGTAAGTATAACAAACAGTTCAAAATCTGAAAAAAAATCCAAAATCTGAAACACTTCTGATCTCAAGAATTTCAGGTAAGAGATACTCTACTCTGCCTGTATATGAAAAAGAGTAGCATATATGCGAACTTTTAATTTTTTTTTCTGAGTATTAAAATCACTGGTATTAAAATTTACTTTTCTTCTGCTCATTCATGTTTTCTAAATAAATGATTACTTTTGAAATGGAAAGCAAAGTTACTTAAAAATAACCTAACAAGCTCTCTAAGAAATGGCTTATTTTTATTTCTACATCTTCTAAACAATATATTCAACATTTATTTTTTTAGAGTTGGTGTCTTGCTCATTATACCCAGGATGGAGTATAATGGCATGATCCTAGCTCACTACAGCCTCAAACTCCTGCCCTCAAGTGATCCTCCTGCTTCAGTCTCTCGAGTAGCTAGGACTACAGGTGTGCATGACCATTCCCAGCTATTTAAAAAATTTATCTGTAGAGATGGAGTCTCACTATGTTGCACAGGCTGGTTTCAAACTCCAGGCTTCAAGCGATCCCTCCTGCCTTGACCTACCAAAGTTCTGGCATTACAGATGTGAGCCACCACATCTGGACATATTCAACATTTAGATAACTTTTCGACCTGATATTAAGATAGTTGAGTTAGTTATACCTGCAGGTACCATCAAGGACTATAACCCCTCCCTCCCTTGGTACTGAGCACAAACTACAGTGCATTGTGTTACACAAAGTAGGGATAAAAAGTGAGGCATCTAGATTTTTTGCCTGAACAAGAGATGGAAAAAAAGAAATGTGTAAATTAATAACTCCAATAAAGGTATGTCTGAGAGTGCAAAGGAAAAGCATAGATGATTTCAACTGGCAGAATGTGTTCTTATACACTAGTCATCCACAATTTGCTTTCCCTCTCTAATAGTAATGGTTTACCACTTACCCAGTAAGATGATAAAACAAGTAATTCACAGCATCTATTCCCATATTCCACATGAATGCTTACTAGCCCTACTTGTCATCAGCTTACATGTCACTTAATCTTTGTTTCTGTGGGTAACAGCACTTCTCTTGATATGCCATGAACATGGATTCAGTGCCAATCTCCTAAGACGGAGAGCTCCGAGATGGCAGAAACTAAGTCTAATTCATCTTAGTATTGCCAGGTTGAGTTGGCTTCACTAGGTATAATATGCACCATGACTTTTTCAAGCTTTCTGCATGTGTTTAACATCTTGGCAAAGGAAACTTAGAAATCATACCTGGTAGGATTCCTTTTGTCTTCTTCAGAGATCAAAAACCAAACAAAATCTGCATAGCTCATTCTTCCCTCTTTCTGTATTGTTTTTCCCCTGAAGAAAACATACGGTTATAAAATTTCCTGAGCAATTACTCAGAACCATTTATCAGGATGATAGACTAAGAAATAAAGTAATACGCCAGTTAATTTTTTAAAAATTATAATGCTAAATGCCTCATAAAGGGCAACCCTTCCACAGCCTATCTTATTTTCAAAGGTCTAAAGGGTGAAACCAGAAGGCATTTGCAAATACAAAGAAAAGAAATCTGGCTTTTCATATGAATGCAAATAATCACTGGGATAAAATACTGTTACCTGTATTTAGATATAGGATTAATACTCATGTTAGGCATCAATGGAAGACACCTCAAAATAGTAAGAGCCGTCTATGACAAACACATAGCTAGCATTACACTGAATGGACAAAAGCTAGAAGCAGTCCCCTTAAGAACAATAACAAGACAAAGATGCCCACTCTCACCACTCTATTCAACATAGTACTGGAAGTCTTAGCCAGAGCAATCAGGCAAGAGAAAGAAATAAAACGCATCCAAACAGGAAAAGTCAAATTATCTCTCTTTGCTGACAACATGATTCTATACATAGAAAAGCCTGAAAACTATGCCAAAAGGCTTTCAGAACTAATAATTTCATTAAAGTTTCGGGATACAAAATCAATGTAGAAAAATCAGTAACATTTCTATACACCAATAGCATTCAAGCTGAAAGTCAAATCAAGAATGTAATCCCATTTACAATAGCCACACACACACACAAAATAAAATACTTAGGAATACAGCTAAACAAGGAGGTGAAAAATCTCTACAGGGAGGACTACAACACTCTGCTGAAAGAAATCAGAGATAACACAAACCAATGGAAAAACATTCCATGGTTATGGATAGGAGAATCAATATCGTTAAAATAGCTATACTCCCCAAAGCAATCTACAGATTCAATGTTATTCTTACTAAACTAACGTCATTTCTCACAGACAAGTTTTAAGAAAAAAAAAAATTCTAAAATTCATATGGAACCAAAAACAAAGCCCAAATAGCTAAAGCAATCTTAAGCAAAAACAACCAAGCCAGAGGTATCATAGTACCTGACTTCAAACTACACTATATAAGGCTACTGTAACCAAAACAGCATGGTACTGGTACAAAAACCGACACATAGACCAATGGAGCAGAATAGAGAGCCCAGAAATAAAGCTGCACACCTACAACCATCTGATATTTGACAAAGTCGATAAAAACAAACAATGGGAAAAAGACTCCCTATTCAATAAACAGTGCTGGGATAAATTAGCTATATGTAGAAGAATGAAACTGGACCCTTACTTTTCACCATATAAAAAAATTAATACACAATGGATTAAAGACTTAAATGTCAGACCTCAAACTATAACAATCCTAGAAAAAAAACCTAGGAAATACCCTTCTTGACATCAGCCTAGGCAAATAATTTATGGCTAAGTCCTCAAAAGCAATTGCAACACAACTAAAAATTGATGACTGGGACCTAATGAAACTAAAGAGCTTTTGCACAGCAAAAGAAACTATAGACAGATTTAACAGACTACCTACAGAATAGGAGAAAATATTCTCAAACTATATATTCAACAGAGGTCTAATATCCAGACTCTATAGCGAATTTAAATCAACCAGCATAAAACAACCCCATTTAAAAATGGGCAAAGGACATGAACGGACACTTCTCAAAAGAAGACATATAGGCAGCCAACAAACATGAAACAATCTCAACATCATTCATCATTAGAGAAATGCAAATCAAAACCACAATGAGATACCATCTCACAACAGTCAGAATGTCAACTACTAAAAAGCCAAGATATAACACATGCTGGTGAGGCTGTGGAGAAAAGGGAATGATTATACACTGTTAGTGGGAATGTAAATGGGTTCAGTTGTGGTGGAGAGCAGTTGATTTCTACTATTGTTCGACGCAGCAATCCCATTACTGGGTATATACCCAAAGGAAAATAAGTCATTCTACCACAAAGATACATGTACGTGTATGTTTATCCAGCACTATTCACAATAGCAGAGACATGGAATCAACCTAGATGCCTACCAACAGTAGACTGGATGAAGAAAATGTGGTACATATATACCACTGAATACTATGCAGCCATAATAATTATGAAATCATGTCCCTGCAGCAACATGGAGGCAGCTGAAGGCCATCATCCTAAGCTAATTAACACAGGAACAGAAAACCAAACACCATTATGTTCTCATTTGTAAGTGGAAGCTAACATTGAGCACACATGGACATAAAGATGGGCACAATGGACACTGGGGACTGCTGACGCGGGTAGGGAGTGAGCAGAGTGAGGACTGAGGGACTGCTTGTTGGGTGTTGTGCTCACTGCCTGTGTGACAGGATCCTCCAAACACCAAACTTCATCATCACACTGAGTTCCCATGTGACAGACCTGCACGTGTACCCCTTGAATCAGAAAAGTTGAAATTATTTTTTTAAAAAAGAATTACTGTCTTGTATTAAGCCATAACTATGTTTTATAGGATATTATTTGCTCCAACAGCACTGCCAAATTATTCAGGAAGCTTTGCTAAAATGAGATCGTTATGGTATTACTTGTTCATTTTTAAATGCAGCATTAAACGTTTTCTTACCTTGTTACTGCCCCAGAGAATATCCTTTCAATAATCCTGTTTGATGAAGCTAAATGTAGATAAAAAAATTACAAAGCTAGTTAGAAATATGCTCCATAAAGGCAATACTTTTTACAAATTTATTTTTCATTAGCTACAAGCTAAACCATAACCATCGTCCATGATGAGAATGTGAGTACATTTTTATTTATGCATAATTTTAAAATAGTTTTAAAAAATAATAGGCAAATGAATATGGCTGACATCTGGGAAGTATTAATATAGCTGAATGCTAAGTTAGGTCTGAACATCCTGACAACTAAGACAAAAATATATAGGATTTGTATTGATTTTATCCAATGAGACCAATTTTCCTATAAACAAGACAAATTTTATCCTTAAATTAAATTCAAGGGGGAACTGATTGTGTAAGCTCCTAAAACAACGTAAAATAAAAGTTAAAAACAATGGAGAATGCTTTCAAGTAGTTTTTTAAAAGCTCCTCAAACACACTACAAACATACTTTTCTTATATTCCCATTTTATAAAAGTCCATGGTTTAACATGATATAACATAAGATTTTTAGAAATTCCATCAGGAAGTTTTATTCACAGAGACAATCATAGCTTAAGTTAGTATGTTGCTGAGAGAGAGAGAGAGAGAGAGAGAGAGAGAGACACACGACTAGAGACTTGTTCTTTATTTATTTAATTTATTTATTTTTGAGATGGAATTTCGCTCTTGCTACCCAGGCTGGAGTGCAATGGCACGATCTCAGCTCACCACTCTCCCAGATTCAAGTGATTCTCCTGCCTCAGCTTCCCAAATAGCTGGGATTACAGGCATGCACCACCACACCTGGCTAATTTTTTTGTATTTTTAGTAGAGACGGGGTTTCTCCATGTTGGTCAGGCTGGTCTCGAACTCCCAACCTCAGGTGATCTGCCCGCCTCAGCCTCACAAAGTGCTGGGAATACAGGCATGAGCCACCATGCCCAGCCGGTTCTTTCTTTCAACAGATGCCCCAGGCAATGGCATGCACACTAAAATTTCAGGACCAGCAATAAGGTCATTAGGGACATAGCAGCTATCAGCATCGAATTCTTCTGACAGTTAGGTACAGTTAGCATAAAGGTAAATTAGTTTGGCCAAAGAAAGTTGGGAATATGTGTATTGGTACAGCCACGCCTGGTCACACACCAAAGCTTATATAAAGACCTTCCATATTCTGCTGAACATTGGTTTATGGGGTTAATCTGTACTAAATAGAAAAAAAAAGAGGCCTATACAGGAAAGGCAAGGATATTTAATTGCAAAGCCAAAATCTTTTTTTAAAGGCATTTTTTTTAGCTTGGGAAGGTTGAGCTTCCTAAAATTGAAGATCATGTTATTCCATGTTGTCTCATTAAGGACAGTCTGGTGAGTGGATAATTATAGTCAGTGGCCCCTTCTCGCTCTATCACCTAGGCTGCAGTACAGTGGCATGATCTCGGCTCACCACAACCTCTGCCTCCCAGGTTCAAGTGGTTATCCTGCCTCAGCCTCCCGAGTAGCTGGGATTACAGGCATGCACAACCACACCTGGCTAATTTTTGTATTTTTAGTAGAGATGGGGTTTCACCATGTTGGTCAGGCTGGTCTTGAACTCCTGACCTCGTGATCCACCTGCCTCAGCTTCCCAAAGTGCTGGGGTTACAGGCGTGAGCCACCGCGCCTGGCTAACTTTATTTCTTAAATACGCAAAGCTCTATGAAACCTGACACCATATACAACAAGCCTTTTTTTTTTTTCCCCTTTGAGACAGGGTCTCCCTGTTGCTCAGGCTGGAGTATAGCAGCAGCATCATGGCTCACTGCATCCTCAACTTCCCCAGGTTCAGGAGATCCTCCCATCTCAGCCTCCTGAGTAGCTGGGACTACAGGCATATGCCACCACACCCGACTAATTTTTGTATTTTTTGTAGAGTCAGGGTTTCACCTGTTGCCCAGACTGGTCTTGAACTCAAGTGATCCACTCACCTTGGCCTCCCAAAGTGCTGGTATTGCAGGCATGAGCCACTGACCCTGGCCTGATGAGCCTTTTCTTAAGAGGCACACCATTAGTAACAGCCATACCAAAAAACAAAAACAAAATTCAATGCATTTATTTAAGATTTATACTCTGCTATATCTAATAAGCTAAAGTATTGTTTAAAAACCAACAGTGCCTGAGAAGGCATTAAAGGACAGGGACAATCTTATGAGAGAAGAATGAATCAATGTATCTTGGTGCTTAGTTAATACTAAACCAGGCCGGGCGTGGCGAAGCAAGCCTGTAATCTTAGCACTTTGGGAGGCCAAGGCAGATGGACTGCTTGACCTCAGGAGTTGGAGACCAGCCTGGGCAACAAGGCGAAACCCCATCTGAATTAGTCTGTTCTCACACTGCTAATAAAGATATACCCAAGACTGGGTAATTTAAAAAGGAAAGAGGTTTAATGGACTCACAGTTCCACATGGCTGGGGAGGCCTCACAATCATGGTGGAAGGCAAAGGAGAAGCAAAGGCACATCTTACATGGCAGCAGGGGTGTGTGTGGGGGAACTCTCCTTTATAAAACCATGAGCTCTCATGAGACTTACTCACTATCACAAGAGCAGTACAGGAAAGACCCACCCCCATGACTCAGTTAACTCCTACCGGGTCCCTCCCATGACACATGGGGATTATGGGAGCTACAATTCAATATGAGATTTGGGTGGGGACACAGCCAAACCATATTGTTCCAACCATGGCTCCTCCCAAATCTCAGGTCCCCCACATTTCAAAACCAATCATGCCTTCACAACAGTCCCTCCAGTCTTAACTCATTTCAGCATTAACTCAAAAGTCCACAGTCCAAAGTCTCATCTGAGACAACCCAAGTTCCTTCCACCTATGAGCCTGTAAAATCAAAAGCAAGTTAGTTACTTCCTAGATACAATGGGGATACAGACATTGGGTAAATACACCTGTTCCAAATGAGAAATCAGCCAAAACAAAGGGACTACAGGCCCCATGCAAGTCCAAAATCCAATACTGCAGTCATTAAACCTTAAAGTTCCAAAATGATCTCCTTTGACTCGGTCTCACATCCAGGGCACACTGATGCAAGAGGCAGGTTCCCATGGCTTTGGGCAGCTCCACCCCTGTGGCTTTGCAGGGTATAGCTCCTTGCTGCTTTCATGGGCTGGCATTGAGTATCTGTGGCTTTTCCAGGTGCATGGTGCAAACTACTGGTAGATCTACCATTCTGGGGCCTGGAGCATGGTGGCCCTCTTCTCACAGCTTCACTAGGCATTGTCCCAGCAGGGACTCTGTATGGGGGCTTCAACTCCACATTTCCCTGCCACACTGCCCTAGCAGAGGTTCTCCATTAGGGCTCTGCCTCTGCAGCAAATTTCTGCCTGGACATCCAGGTGTTTTGATACATCCTCTGAAATCTACGTGGAGGTTCCCAAATCTCAATACTTGGACTTCTGTGTACCCACAGAACCAACACCACATGGCAGCCACCAAGGCTTGGGGTTTGCGTTCTCTGAAGTAATGGCCTGAGCTGTATTTTGGCCCCTTTAAGCCACGGCTGGAGCTGAAACAGCTGGGATGCAGGGTACCATATTCAGAGGCTGCATAGAGCAGGGGGGCCCTGGGCCTGGCCCAGAAAACCATTTTTCCCTCCTAGGCCTCCAGGCCTGTGATGGGAGGGGCTGTCATGATGGTCTCTGACATGCCCTGGAGACATTTTACCCATTGTTTTGGTGATTAGCATTTGACTCCCCATCACTTATGCAAATTTCTGTAGTGGGCTTGAATTCTCCCCAGAAAATGGGTTTTTATTTTCCACTGCATTATCAGGCTGCAAATTTTCTAAACTTTTATGCACTGTCACCTCTTGAATGCTCTGCTGCTTAGGAATTTTTTCCACCACATACCCCAAATCATCTCTATTAAGTTCAAAGTTCCACAGATCTCTAGGGCAGGGGCAAAATGCCAAGTCTCTTTGCATAGCAAGAGTGACCTTTACTCCAGTTCCCAACAAGTTCCTCATCTCCACCTTAGACCACTTCAGCCTGGATTTTATTGTCCATATCACTATCAGCATTTTGGTAAAAGCCATTCAAGTCTCTAGGAAGTTCCAAACTTTCCCACATGTTCCTGTCTTTATCTGAGCCCTCCAAACTGTTCCAACCTCTGCCTATTACCTAGTTCCAAAATCCCTTCTACATTTTTGGGTATCTTTAAAGCAGTGCCCCACACTACTGGTATCAATTTACTGTATTAGTCTGCTCTCATGCTGCTAGTAAAGACATACATGAGACTGGGTAATTTATAATGGAAAGAGATTTAATGGACTCACAGTTCCACATGGCTGAGAAGGCCTCACAATCATGGCAGAAGGCAAAGGAGAAGCAACAGCACATGTTACATGGTGGCAGACAAGACAGGATGTGCAGGGGAACTCCCCTTTATAAAACCATCAGATCTCATGGGACTTATTCACTATCATGAGAACTACATGGGAAAGACCCGCCCCCATGATTCAATTACCTGCCACCAGGTCCCTGCCACAACAGGTGGGGATTATGGGAGCTACAGTTCAAGATGAGATTTGGATGGGAACATAGCCAAACCATATCACCGTCTTTACAAAAAAAATTAGCCAGGTGTGGTGGCATGTGCCTGTAGTCCCAGCTACTTAGGGGCTGAGATGGTAGGATGCCTTGAGCCCAGGAGGTCGAGGCTACAGTGAGCCATGTTCATGCTACTGCACTCCAGCCTAGGTGACAAAGTGAGATACTGTCTTGAAAAAAAAACAAGGATATTAAATTAGTAGGCAACAGGTTCTAGATTTACCGCTGGCAAAAATGAAGCAAAAAGGGTATTATCATGTGATATGTAACTTTTTGTTTTCTGACAAAAGAAAGCACACAAAATTCATCTGCAGAGACATATCTTTCTGGAACTAAATTTCCAGAAGTAAATTTTTGTGAATCCTTGAAAAGAAAACTTGGCAAGTTAGAAACACTATTTTCATCCTTGGTTTTTTATAGAAATATTGTTAAGTGGGAAGTTTACAAAGGTGTATACATATTCTCTTTCAAACAGATTTACACAGGTGTGGATCTTATTCAATTCATCATCAGAAAATACACACCAGTATAAAGACTCATCGCTTTATCAAAACTAAGACTGTGATTGGTTACTTACTTCCAAACTCCTCCTACATCAAGGCTTTTATTAATTTAATAAAAAATTATATTAACTTCACTCATCCCCTCTTAAAAATTCTTGGCCTGTAAAGAGGACTTGATTAGGTTGAGAATTTAGCAAATGGGAATTTCTCATAATGAGTAGTGATGATTTATATAACTCTTCAAAATGGTTAAGTCTTAGCATCTACAGAATCACTTACCCTGGTCATTGTATCGAGACAGATCGGCCTGGCTGATGTAGAGGTCGTGATCAGTATCTAGTTCCCAGAATTTACAATAAATAACATAGAAATGTTCATAGGAGAAGTAATCTGTAATTTGGTTTATATCTTCCTCTTCTTCCAAAAGTGCTAGGGTCTGAAATGATATGAGAAGAAGAATTTAAACATTATGAAAAAGCAGCTTTGGCCACTGTGCAGTTTAGTGAATTTCCGTTTTAAACTGAATTTAAAATTTTGTTTCTGGTACCAAATAAGAAAACCTTTAATAGGCAACCTCATCCTACCTTTAATCAACCAATCAATCTATAAGCATTTACTGAGCTCTATAATATGCTCAGTGAAGGGTTGGATACTGTGGAGGATGTAAAAGCAGGGAAAGGGAAGTACCATTACTTGGGGAGTATAATTGGTCAGAAGTCAGAGACTGGCACAAAGAGAACAATTAGATCATAGTCTTCATTACTTTGCCAGAAACAAATACTATTTTTAATTTTCAAAGTTATGTGAGCAATATTAAGAGGGGTAGGCATCTACATATAGTGTTTGGTTTTGTAATAAAAATTAAGTTTATATCACAAAGGTGACTCATACAATAGTGATGATACATGGGCCTGGCATAGGCATGGCAGATAGAGATGCAGGGCCCTGAGCTGGCAGAAAACCTGGGTCTTCCCTGACTCACTGTACTCCCCTACAGCAAACTCCAGAATCAATGATACTGAACCCACAATTCTACTGTCAGTCAAATTATTACATAAGTGGGCAGATAAATAAAGACATTTTCAGAAGTGAAAGATTCAGAAAGAAAAATGAAAGAAAGCACAAAAAATGTTAAGAAATATATATAAAAAAAGAAATGCCAGAAATAAAATCAGATATATGAATAGTCACTATAAAGATAAGTGAATTATATCTTCCCATTAAAATTTTTTTGATTGAGTATTAAAACCATGCCCCCAAAATAGATCTACCTATATGCATCTATAAGGGATATATCTAAAAAAAATATGGAAGGTTAAAAAAAGATGGACAAATATACACGGTTAAATGTTAAAATAAACATGTATCAATATTAATATGGACTGCAAAGTGAAAAACATAAGGGGGCAGGGTGCAGTCGCTCACGCCTGAAATCCAGCACTTTGGGAAGCCAAGGCAGGTGGATCATGAGGTCAGGAGTTCAAGACCAGCCCAAGATGGTGAAACCCCATCTCTACTATAAATACAAATATTAGCTGGGTGTGGTAGCAGGCGCCTGTAATCCCAGCTACTTGGGAGGCTGAGGCAGAGAATTGCTTGAAACCGGGAGGTGGAGGTTGCAGTGAGCCGAGATTGCACCATGGCACTCCAACCTGGGCGATAGAGCAAGACTCTGTCTCAAAAGAAAAAAAAAAAAAAAAAAAAAAAAGAAAAACATGAGGGACAAAGAGGACTATTTCATAAGGCAAATGTTAGTATTTCAACAAAAAATTATTTTTAAAAATATAAACACTGGAAAACCAAAGTGCTCTGGGGCAAACTAAAAACAACATAAATTATTATTAAGTTATGATAAATCTGCTCAATAGAAAATTATGCAGCCAGTAAAAATTATAAAGTTTACACTGAAAATCATGATATAGTAAGTACAAAATATAGGATACAAGATTGTACCCACTAAGAACTACGTAAAATCCTAAAAATGCATATGTACATAAGAATAAGACTAAATGAATACAGACAAAAATGATACTACTTGTATAAGGGTGATAAAATATGGTTTTTCTTGTTTTCCAAACTTGCTCATAATATTTCGTTTTATAAAATGCCCTTTGATATGTAAGAAGCAGAACACTTTCAATAAAGCACATTTTAGAAGCAAAGAGCTATCATTTTTACCGACTGGATTGGCATAAAATGAAGACGACAGCAACTTTTGTTGGTGAGTATGTAAGTGAAAGTAGTGCAGGCTTTTTGGAGGGTAACTTGGCAGAATCCACCAAACTAAAAATGCGCATAGTATTTGATCCAGAATTTTCCCTCCAGTGGTCTATTCTACAGACATTCTTACTCATACCACATACAAGAGGAGGGTACAAGGATGTTCACTGCATCATTGTAATAGAGGAAGTCTGAAAATGATCTGGACATCAATAGAGGAATATGTAATTAATTACAGTTTAGCCATGCAATTGATTGTGCAGTAGTTGAAAGAATGAGATAGATTTATATGAATGCAAATGAACAAAACCCTGAGACACTGTTACGTGAAAAAACAAAGTTAACAGAATAGTATGAACCCACATATTTTTTGAAAACCCTCAAAATAGCAGCCATACAAAACAAAACTATATACTACATGTATATATTTATAAGAGAATAAAACCACATATGATATGGGTCCCCCACTGGGGAAAGGGAGTAAAATGGTAGAGTGAAGAATAGTGACTTCTGTTTATCACTCTACATGTGCTCATATTATTTGAACGCTTTATGAGTACTGTTTAAGTACGAAGAGGAAGACTAAGGAGAGGGGCAGGGAAGGAAAGGCAGGAGAAAATAAATCATGCTCTAAGAAGCAGAACACTTGAGTTCTTTTTGCAGTTCAGCAACTTACTTGTATGTGATCTTATACAAATCATTTAAGTATATTTGGGCCTCAAATTTTATCACTGGTTTAAAAAAAAAAAAAAAAAAAAGGAATAATTTTAAAAGCCAAAAAAGAAAAAATATGGATTAGGCCAGGCATGGTGGCTCAAGCCTGTAATCCCAAGCCTTGGGAGGCTGAGGCAGATGGATCACGAGGTCGGGAGTTCGAGACCAGCCTGGCCAACACAGTGAAATCCCATTTCTACTAAAAATACAAAAATGAGCTGGGCATGGTGGCGCATGCCTGTAGTCCCAGCTACTCAGGAGACTGAGGTAGAAGAATCGCTTGAATCCGGGAGGTGGACATTGTGGTGAACCAAGATCACACCACTGTGACAGCCTGGGCAACAGAGCAAGACCCCCATCTCAAAAAAAAAATAAATCTATGGACTATAAAAATGATTCAGAAACTATGACCTATAATGTGCTTCAGGAAAGTGGGGGATTATTATAATTACTCTTGAGGTATTATGGAATTACTGCCATTTTAACCCATCCCATATTACCTACTGAGAGCCCAGGCAGGCATCAGGTGTTCAATAAATATCAACACTGACTGTGATGATGATTGTTCATTTTAGAATAAAAAAATGTTTGTATATCCATCATGGACTGCTAATTTTGCCAAGTCTTCATTACTCTGTCTCAGATGAAGATAGGAAAAAATAAAGAGTAAATAAGGTTGTATTATTAGCCTAAATTCCATTGAGTATGATTCTTAAAAATAAAACCTTTAATTTTCTTCCAAGGGTGAACAATTTCACTTTCTTTATGTTTACAGAAGCTTAAACAATCAGGCATGAAGATTACTTTGGTAAAAGGCTCCCACTAGTGGTCAATACTTTCTCTCTCATTTGGTAAAAATGAATAAAATAATTGAATGAAATGTATTCTTTCTTAAAAGGAATTTTTAGTACTTTTCTCTAGCAGGTGCTGGATACAGAGTCATTGCTGAAAGGATCAAGTTTAAAATCTTCCAAAGGCTTTCCAAGACCCTTCCCAACCTAGCCCCAGCCCACCCCTCCAGGCTTATCTATTGTGAAGCTTTCTCTGTACGTTTTATCCATGTCTATGGAAATTATCAAGTCAGGTTTAGTGTGTGTACACTTCACTTTTTTGCTCCAGAGTGAATGCCTTCAGGCAGAGATCCCTTATTATTCTCTTCATTTTTACCCCCTCACCCAAAACATTTCAGCGTCCCACGACAGGTATTTGATAAATGCTTAATGAATGAAAGTAGTGACAGTGCTTTGAATACAGTAAGCATTCAAATATTTGTTAACTAGAGTAAGAAAATTATTTAAATTGCTCATTACACATGAATTCTAAGGAAAGGCATACTTGCAAAAAGTTGCTTTTTCTTATCTCTGTCGAAGTAATTTTTCCACTCCAAGATCTGTTGACTGTGTAGAATATTCTCTGAATAACCTGGTTCCAAAAGGAAAACAAAACCAAATAAAAACATTGAAGATCTCCACTACTTTCTCAAAGGCCATCTTATGAACACACTTGGGATCAATTTAACTTTTAGCTTTTTGACTACGTTAAGTGTAATTCCTAGTAAAAATCAGCACTGTATTTTTAAATATACATCTATATATTTTGAATTTGCCTCTGTACTTCCAAGAAGAATTAAAAAAATTCTCTGCTCACAAGTCTTCACTTCCCAGCTGCCTTCACATCACTTCTTTTGTTTACCTCCAATTTATACAGTGATGCCTGATTCAAGTAATGCTTATTGGGCTCAATGTTTTGGGAAGGCATATGAGGTGAGAAGTACCTGCTGGGTTGGCCTAATGATTGATTAATTGGTCAGAAGGATGGCTATCAAGGTGGTATGATTCAAGAGGGTCTTATTCTGATTATCATAGTCTTATTCACTTGAGTCTTGAAGACTCTTGGTCTTCTAGACTCTATGGAAATTCAAATACATCTGGGATAATTTGTGTCCTAACTTTAATTTGGGCATGAACATCTTTGTTATTAGCTGGTGTTTTAATGGGTTTAGCAGAATTGTATCTCTGGAGAAAACTTTGGATAGAATGGGAGAAGAGGAGATAAGAAACAAATATGTCTAAATTGAGGATGTGTGTGCTGTGGTGTAGGAGAGGATCAGAGAAGGAAGATGGAAGCTGCAATCTTGGACGTATGAGGTCACAGTGCATTCTTAACAATTTTACCTGCAGTAATTCCTACCCACTTCATTTCCCTTTCACCGATTATTTTTCTTCTCCCAAAGAAAGCAGTGGCAAAAAGAGCAATTTAAGCAGCTTTATTTTTTTTGGGGGGGGCGGGTGCATTCTGCTTTTATTTTGATAGTCTAATAATACAGAAATCCTGTTATCTTTGGTGGTTTTTGTCATGGAAGAGATTAGATCTCTCTTTCAAGCTATTTTGGTGCAAGAAGAACAAATAAGGCAAGATATTTGGACATCTTTCTCTATAGCAGGCCTAATGAGGCACTAAACCACCTTTCTTTCTGGATTCTTCAGCAGAGAGAGAGATTCTTCAACTGAACATGGAAAAACTAGCATCAGGATGAAGGTCTAGATTTCAGCTGTTCAGCACTCAACACCCCACCCCTGCTATCAGTGCTAACCCCTCTGACCCTACAGAATTGAGCTCAAGTGTCACACTCCACGGGAGGCCCCAGATCAGGGACTGACTAGAGCCCTGCCTTCTGTGCTCCCACTGCCACCTGAGCCTCCTTTAGCTGTCCCCGTGGTTACATTCTAAACACTGGTGCACCTGACCATCACCACCTCTAAACACTAAGAGACCAGGTCTTTCTCGACTTGTATTCCAGTAACTTATATGGTACTTTCTATATATCAGGTGGTCTATAACTGCTTGATAAAATAATGAGGTTTGAAAGTTGCATAACAAAGATTTTTGTATTATCTGCGTGTTAGAGAAATATGGGTTGGCTTCATAAGTATTTGAAGAACTCTAGTCAGAGTTTTGCATAGCAGATTGATGTCAACCCAAGAAAGGTCTCTAATTAGTATTTCACATATATCAGTATTTTTGTCTATTATTTATAGATAGACTCACACAGAATGCACAAAAACCACAAAACAGGTAAGTGTTACTATATTCAAAATAACTGTGAAAGATGCTACTAATGTAGTAATGTTTAATCTTGGGAAAAAAATAAGACTAGAGTGTAGATATGATCAAGATCTGAGTGGCTATTGGGTAGAAGCAGCTGACTTGTTCTGTGTTGCACCAAAGGGAAGAATTACAACTGCGAGACAGAAATGCATTTATACTGAAATGCTTCAATATAAGAAAGACTTTCCTAAAACTAGCCCTGTAAAGCAACGAGTTTGTATGAAGTGGCTGGGTTTCTTCTCACCACAAGTATTTAGGAAGTTGACAGGATTCCTGAATTAGGTGGGAGCTAAGACTAGCCAGTGCCTAATTTCTCTACTGGCCCCAACCACTCAGACTCTGAGGTCACTGAGGACAGAGAATGTGTCTTACTCAATATTGTATTCTTAGCAACAGCTTGGCGGAAGTTCATGTAAAAATGATGGAGGATTTTTAGCACAGAAATTTTATGTATGAAAATAAACATTAAGAATTTTATTTATCATAATTCCATGTCCCCTCTCTCAAGTTAAAGTCAATTTCAATACATATTATTAAACCACATTTTTCTGTTGAAGATTTGTGTCCTTATTTCTTGATTCTGAATGTAAATTTATCTTAAAGTATGAGTTTTTTATTTAAAATTTATATTTATATACTCAAATACTTTATATTATTTATGAAATTACTGTGTTAAAAATTATAAAACTTTATAATCTGTATCCATTCATGCTTATTTTATTTTTCTCCTCTTCTTTTTGACAGAATTTTTAAAATCTGCAAACAGTTTGACTGTTAGGCATTTCCTATTTTCAGCCTGTGCTAACCTACTTATCTCATGCTATAAAACAATGTATTTGTATTGCATTTTTCCATAGCCTAAATCTCCTTATTCAGTGGCCACACTTGATCAGCACATTTGTTGGTTTTCACATCACTGATTCAGCACTTTAGATGGCTGAGGTAGGAGCACCATCTAGTGGTGAAGCATCTAGCTGCTGACTCTACATTAATTGTTACTGTTTTTGTAACCGCTGTCTTCTAGGTAAATAAAATTCATCATCATTTAAAATATCAAATAAAATTTTAAAATAAATCATAATTAGAATAACTGTTTACTACTAGTGAAATAAATGAAATTTCGCCATTTTTCACCAAGGGATCTTTAGTCAACTTGACATATAAGTTAAATCATAAGTCAGTTTCCTTTCCTCTTGGTATCTATTGAAAAAAACCTCTAATTCACAAGTACAGGTCACCAGGAATAGAAATGTTTGACGGCTCTGTCATATAGTTTTTGACAAATGAATTAAACACAGACACAGAAGTTACAAATAATTTTTACTATGTATGTGTACAGAAGAACAAACTCCAATGCTGGAAGCCTGGCTCTCACTTGGCAGGAGTGGTGAACAGATTTCTAATTCACTCTTTGGTTAACATGGCTCAGAGAAGTATTTCTTCATGGTCTTCTGTAGAGTTAGGACTTTAAAAAATATATCTAATAAAAAATATATATTTTTTTCTCTGAAGAGGAAAAGTTTTCAAGAGGGAAGAGTTGGTAAGCTCTTAGCGTGAGCAGTCTCCACTATACCTTAGTCATCTTGGGAAAATCAGTACCTTGTCCTCCGCAAGGAAAATCCTGGCATTTCAGCCTACAGTGGTGGATTCTGGCCAATCAAGATACTGAATATATCACTAAGACACACCATCGAAGCAAGCCACAGAAATATCTCTGCTGCCAGCACCAGTGTCATAAAGAAGTATTTTAAATCTCATCGCTAATTTTAAAAACTCAAGAGAGCACTTCTTTCCTCAAAAGTTGGCATATGTCGGTTTGGATAAACAAAACCTTTCATTCACTGGCAATTTTTGCACAGCATGCAAAACTGCACTCAAGGGCTATCATTTGCTGGTATTTCTAATTTTCATTTTCATTCACTATCAAAGGCTTATTTCTCAACTGCTAACTCTTTTTGGAAATAAACAAGACAGACTGACTATAGGTTCAGTCTCTTTTTTGGGTAATGATGTCCTTCTTTGCTGTACACATAGCTGGTGGTCTATCTTTCTAGTCTAAAAACAGCTAGCAAAATAATTAACTAAACAAATAGCCTTTTCCTGTAACAGATTTTCAATGATACATAGAAAATAAAAATTTTCTAACTTTCCTTCGTCATATATGTACCACACACACAAGCTAATATTTGAATCATACTCTGTGTCAGTGGTTTCTTCCGAAACGCAAACCGAAATAACTAACACTAGCATGCAAACGTAATATATTAATTGTTCTTTCTATATTGTATGCCATGAAGATTATATAACATTCAATAGAGTCACATAACTGATTCTGCTTTTTCTGAGATATCTGTCATTAATTCTGAGGCTGATCTTTATATGTTTCTTAGAAATAGTGTGATCTTAACTGTTTTTGCTGTGAGCAGGGTAGAGAATGATGTCTTTTTAGTTTGGTCACTTTTATGTCTAACAACAAAATTAACTTCATACTAGAAGGCCTTATTTTACATTTGTTCTAGAAAAACTCACTGTACTCTGAAATAATGCAATGGTTTCAATGACTTCATGCCATTATTTGACCAAGTTTCACAACAGAAAAGGCACTGAGGAGAACAGATAACCAGTCTAATAAAATTCCATTTCCAGATAATCGTTTTTATACTTTTTATTTGCCCTTTTTGTGAGTTTATCACAATGGCAGTTATTCACTTATCTCAGTACATATTCACATGAAATGTTCCCAATTAGGTCTTGTTTATTATTTATGTATAGTAAATACATAAACATTTTTGTATTTTTGTTTTGAGTTGCCACATTATCATTTTATCACAAGTATTTTACACTTAAATGACTAGTTCTGAGTAATGGATTCACTTTTGTGCATTGGAGATAAAGCAGCATAATGCTAACAACAAAGTGAAATTTAACAAATATAAAGTTATATACAAATGCCATGAAAATATTACAGCAGAGATATTTAACTGTACTCTATTAATTCACCAGTGTAGTTCATTTTGTTCAACTATTATTAACACGACACTATTTCTTAGAAAATGTGAATTATATGTGAACAAAATGGTTTCATGGCTTTTCACTCTAAAATCATAAAACTTCCTGGTGATGGCTGGGTGCGGTGGTTCATGCCTGTAATCCCAGCACTTTGGGGAGGCTGTGGTGGGTGGATCACGAGGTCAGGAGATCGAGACCATCCTAGCTAACACGGTGAAACCCTGTCTCTACTAAAAATACAAAAAATTAGCCGGCTGTGGTGTTGGTTGCCTGTAGTCCCAGCTTCTCAGGAGGCTGAGGCAGAAGAATGGCATGAACCCGGGAGGCGGAGCTTGCAGTGAGCCAAGATTGCGCCACTGCACTCCAGCCTGGGTGACAGAGTGAGACTCCGTCTCAAAAACAAACAAAAACCAAAAAACTTCCTGGGGACTACTTGCTAGATGACCAAATACCATTGAATGTCCAAGTACTTGAAAAAATATCAAACTATGTGTTCATTAAGATCATGAAAGAAAAAAAAAGAAATATCAAACTGGAAACAGACAAACAAAGAAAATTTATTTCCATTTCACTCTTTTGTTCTTTAATATCTCTAATATATGCCAACAGTTTGGACTAGTTTAATTCCAACTAGTTTGGACTAGTTTATTTCTAAGATCTTTTCTAACTCTTAAGAGTCTAAATTATGCTGTTAATATGCCCTGAGTTTTCAGAACAGTCAATATTTAGAACCCAATAATTCTTTTTGCGACTGCAGCCAGAGCTAGTGTAGAATTCTTTTTTTTGAGACAGAGTCTTGCTTTGCATCCCAGGCTGGAGTGCAGAGGCGAGAATCTCGGCTCACTGCAACCTCCACCTCCTGGGTTCAAGTGATTTCCGTGCCTCAGCCTCATGAGTAGCTGGAACTACAGGTGTGCACCACTAAACATGGCTAATTTTTATATTTTTAGTAGAGACGGGGTTTCACCACGTTAGCCAAGCTGGTGTTGAATGTCTGGCCTCCAGTGATCCGCCTGCCTCGGGCTCCCAAAGTGCTGGGATTACAGGCATGAGCCACTGTGCCTGGCCTAGAATTCTTAAACAGGGATAATTTCATGTATTCACTCAGTACATATTGACTGTGTGTCTATTATATGCCAGATAGTATTCTAGGTACTGAGGATATAGACAAAGTTCCTGCTTGCGTGGAGCTTATATTATAGAGACGGAGATGGACAATAAACAAACAAAAAATTAAATATCAGATGATAGGAATGAAGAAAAATAAAAGAGCAGGACAAAGGAATAGAGTGTCGGGGGAGAGGGGGCAGACAAAGAAGGGTTACAAAAACAGAGAGTGATCCCAGGAGAGGCCTCACTAAATCAGGGAGGGCCTCACTAAATAAGGGAACCGAGCAGACATCTGGATGAAGTGAGGGAGCGACAATGTGGAAATCTGTAGGAAGAACATTCCAAGCAAAGGAAAGAGGAAGAACAAAGTATGTGAGGCAGAAATGGGTTTGGTTTGCTCATGGTGGCTGAAGCAGAGTAAGCAAAGGAGTGGGAGGTAGGAGAGAAGATGAGAGAATAGGGGTTTGCCAGGATATGGGAGGATTATGGAGAGTCTTGGCAAGGACTTGGCTTTTATTCTACGTAAGCTGGGAAACTACTGCAGAGTTTGAGCAGAGGAGTGACATGATCTGGCTGACTTTTTAAAAAGACAATTGTTTGCTTTGTGGAGGCTAGACTACAGGGCAATCAGGGTGGTAACAGGGAGACCAATTAAAAATAAACCAAGTTTGAAATGAGAGCGACAGGCCAGGTTAATTGTGGTAGAGGTAATTTAGTAGAGTGTCACAGTTAAAGGGAAAAAAAACCTCTCAGATTGTCTTAGATAACAGTGACACCTTCTGGCTCAAATAAAATCTTACAGAGCTTTATACTGACATGAGAGCCAATGCAAAAGCATTGAATGAAAAATAAAGTTCCTATAGGAGGAAAAGAAAACAGTAGTATTTTGTAACTCGGCAGGACTTAACATATCTTTGGCTAACAAACTGTACCCTAAGTTTAGGAGGGTAGTTCTCAGAGGAGACTATCCTGTTTAGCTGAGGAATCTGAGCTACAGGCCAGGGCCATCTCACTTGAGAATGTGTCAGTGAATGGCCCTGCGGCTGGTCTGTGGAATGTCCCTAAAGATAATGTGGAAGCTAGGGCAGAGTGCATGAAATGGCTGCTCCATGCCCTGTGGGCCTGTGTGCGCTCACTCATAATTCCTGACCTATCTGGGACTAACCAAATGAGGCTGTACCTGAGAAACAGGGAGTGCGAGCTCCTCACAAAATGAGATTGTGATCATGTTGTTTTAAATTCTTACATCGTTTGTTTTCTGATTACACACAAGCTATTTTCTCATTATCCATTTCCAGTTCTAAGTTTGAGGTACCAGAGATTAATCTTTTTCTGGAACAGGGACAGGCTGTTGAAAATTCTTTTCAGTCTTATTTGGAAATGCTAAAGATCAAATGAATATCATATTCATAACACAAAAAAAGATATGCCTCATAAGACCAGACAGAAGGAATATATTACTTTAATTTTGTAAGTATTGGGCACAAACAAGAAGGAAAATAGATAAAAATGAAATTATGAATTCACTTTTATTTTACCTTCCTTCTACTTAAAATAATCATTATAACCCATGTTACCTTTTGCACAGATACTTGAAATTCTGGATAGCAAATGGTAATAAAAAGGTGACTTATGGAGTTATATTAAGAAAAAAGATGACTCAGCCTACCGTGGTGATGTAGCGGGAGTGGAATTCTGGAGCATCTTTCAGGAACGTGAGACCAGGGTGGGTATCCACCACATCCTGAAAAAGATCAAAACCAAAACTAAATTAACAAACATACAAAAATTATGCCCATAGAAGTTTTTCCTTCCCGTATAATATGTTGCCAGTTGAGCAAACTTGCTATTTTAGAATAATGAATAATGCACTTAAAATTTAATTCTTCATTAAATTCAAGTTTCATTATAAGCATACTTACGCATGCTTTTCTGTATACACAGTATACTTCAAAAAAAGTTAAAGTTTGATTTTAGCTATGTTAGGTAATTTGTGAATCAAATGTCTCCGAGGTATGTACTGTAATTCTAACACATCAACAGCATATCAAGGCAATTCATCTGATGCCACAGATTATTGTAGAGGTATTATGTAAAGTGTATTTACACAGAAAGGATGTGGTGGACAGCAGATGCAAGCCAATGAAAATGATCCTCTTTCATAATCTAAAAACATGGGAAATTTTTTGGAAAAAAAAAGCAGCCATGTAGTCAAGTAGTTTGAATGTGTCTTTGTTAAGCTGTGCAAGCCAGTTGATGCCCATCAGATTTTATCATAATTGTGTGGATAAATCATTTCTCAAATTAGAATTTTATTTATTTTTAAATCTTTAATCTTGTTCTCATTGAAGACTATTAGAATATTAAAACCTTAAAATACTGTTTTTATTTCCTAATTAGATTTTTAAAGCATTTGGAATGAGCCCAGAGGATCTAATAGAGATAATCACAATATTAATTAACCAGAGGAAACAGCTATGCCATTACAGATATAATCTATTAATTGGCTTGTCATCAACAGACATCAAGTATATCTCTGTTTCTTCAGAGCAGTTAGCTATAACACTTACCAATATATAGTCTCAAACAAATTGACTTATTTCTTTAACTTTTTAAAGACTTATTATTATACATATTACATAATTTTCACTTTTTGAGACAGTCTCGCTCTGCCTCCCAGGCTGGAATACTGTGCTACAATCTTGGCTTACGACAACCTCTGCCTCTCCGAGTTCAAGTGAGTCTCAGGCCTTAGCCTCCTAAGTAGCTGGGACTACAGGTATGTAGTACCACACCAGGTTAATTTTTGTATTTTTAGTAGAGACAGGGTTTCACCATGTTGGCCAGGCTGGTCTTGAACTACTGGCCTCAAGTGATCCACCCGCCTCAGCCTCCTGAAATGCTGGGATTACAGGCATGAGCCACCACACCTGGCTAACTTTTTATTTGGAAATAATCTTATACTTACAAAAATTATTATAGAAAAATTTCCTGTGCTCCTCTCCCAGTTTCCCTTAATGGTAACAAGTCACAGACAATAGTATAATGATCAAAACCAGAAAATGAACATGAGTAAGACATTAAACTAATCAAATCTCACTAGTTTTTCCCTTAATGTCTTTTTCTCTTCCAGGATCTTACACTGCATTTAGCTTTTGTGTCTCACTGGTCTCTTCCAATCTGTGAAAGTTCGTCAGTCTTTCCTCATGATTTTGATGCTTTTAATGAGTTCTGGTCAGTTATTCTGTAGAATGCATTTGGTTTTGTCTGATGTCTGGTCAAGATTAAGGTTACACATTTTTGGCAGGAGAACCACAGAAGTGATGCGTCCTTTTCAGTGCATCACTGGGCGTACATAATACAGAGGGTATGTGATGTTGGTATGTCTTCATTTGGTGATGTTAACTTTGATCACACTTAGTTCAAATGTGACTGCTGCGTTCCCCACTGTAAAACTGCTATTTTCCCTTAATAATTGATAAATATCATGGGGGCAGATACTTTTGAGAGTGTCAATATCCTATTTCTCCCCAGAATTTCTCTCATTCATTTTAGTATCTATTGTTAGATTATGCCTGCAACATTTACACTGTAGTGTTTACTTAATAGTGATTTTGTCTATATTCTGTCTACATTTCTTAATTGGAAATCTTCTACAAGGAAAAGCTGTCTCTTCTCTCCTATTTTTTTGAGACAGAGTCTTCCTCTGTCATCCAAGCTGGAGGGCAGCAGTGGTGCGATCTCAGTTCACTACAACCTCCACCTCCTGGGTTCATTCAATTCTCCTGCCTCAGCCTCCTGAGTAGCTGGGATTACAGGCGTGTGCCACCATGCCTGGCCTATTCATTTTTCTGAACAGCACAGACTCACTGGTATTTATTTCATTCTGTCGGTTATAATCCTATACTATCATCATTTTGTTGCTCAAATTGATCTAGCTTTGGCCACTAGGAGTTCCTTCAGGTTGGCTCCTGTGTTCTCTTTTTATTTTTATAAATGAGACAGGGTCTCACTCTGTCACCCAGACTGGAGTGTAGTGGCTCGATCTTGGCTCACTGCAACCTCTGCCTTCCAGGTTTGAGTGATCCTCCTTCCTCAGCCCCGAGCAGCTGGAATTACAGGCATGTGCCACCATGACGAATTTTTGTTTTTTAGTAGAGATGGGGTTTCACCATGTTGCCCAGGCTGGTCTCAAGCGATCTGCCTGCCTTGGCCTCCCAAAATGCTGGGATCACAGGCATGAGCCACTGCACCCGGCCACCTGTGTTCTCTTGATATGCCCCTGTGTTTTTATGGGGACTTTCATATTTTCTGGCATAAGATGACCCATGTTTATCTTGTATTTTCCTTGCCGTAGCTCTGGTATACCAATCTTTTGTCTAAGAAGCCCTGGTTCCTTTCGCTGGAGAATGGTATTTGAAACCAAATCTGAGTGTGAAAGGTGTCCATTACTACTAGAATAGTATTTCATTGTGTACATCACTACATTTTCTTTATGCCTTCGTTTGCTAATACTTAGGTTGATACCATATATTGTTCAGCTTTGGTTAGTTTCCTCATCTATTTGCTGATCAGTACTCTGCTGAATACTCATGGAGGAACTTCTGAAGATCTCTGAGGATTGTTCTCCATGCAGTTCTCTCTTCTTTGGTACTCTGTCCTGAGAATTCTAGTCATCTTGGTTCTCTTAGACCCTCAGGCTCTGTCTCCTAAACTCAAGGAGTCCACTTAACTCAGCCTAGGTTTCCCATTCTTGCACTATGACTTGAAAACTCTCTCAAGGTGGTACGCTCTCTCAATCATAAGACTTACCTTGTTTCTGTCTCTCAGGAATGAATCACTCGTTTGTGGCCTGATGTGCAGCATCTTGAAAAACCATTGTTTTATATTTCCTGTCTGTTATTTTCTGTTGTTTCAAGTGGGAAGGTACATCCAGTCCCTGTTACTCCTTCTTGGTCAGAAGTGGCAAATCTATTGATTTTTCTATGTTAATTTTATTTCCTCTTACTTTACTATTTTATTGAGTTAGTTTTATTACTAATTTTTCTGAATTTTCAAACTTTACTGTCATCTGCAACGAGATACTTTTACTTCTTTAACCAATCTTATGCTTCTAACTGTTTTCTCTTATACAATTACTACAGTAAAATGCTGAATAGTAGTGGAGACAGTGGGCATCCTTGCAGTGTTCCTGATCTTTGCTGAAGTGCCTCTAGTGTTTTCCCATTAAATACAATATTGGCTTTAACACTAAGGTATAGGTACTTCATCATGTTAAGAAAGTATCTAAAATATGGAGAATTTTTTTTCCTTAGATATAACATATGACATTAATAAACGATATGGTTTGGATCTATTTCTCTGCCAAATCTTATGTTGAATTGTAATCCCCAGTGTTGCAAATGGGGGCCTGGTGGGAGATGACTCGATCATAGGGTGGATTTCTCTTGAATGATCTAGCATCGTCCTCTTGGTGCAGTCTTTGAGATAGTGAGTTCTCGTGAGATCTGGTTGTTTAAAAGTGTGCAGCAACTCCCCCACACCTTGCTCCTGCTCTTGCCAAGTGAGATTCTGGCTTCCTCCTTGTCCTTCTGCCATGACTGAAAACTCCCTGAGGCTTCACCATAGGCTGAGCAGATGCCAGCACCATACTTCCTGTAAAGCCTGCAGAACTGTGAGCCAATTAAACCTCTTCTCTTTATACATTACCTAGTCTGTTATTTTTTTGTAGCAATGCAAGAACAGCTTAACACAATAAATATGCTAATATTAAAACAATCTTGACTTCCTGGAATAAATCCCGCTTGGTCATGGTATATTGTTTGGTAATATTTTATTACCCTCTATCATTAATCTTGAAGCTATATTTGTTTGCAGTTTTATTCTCTGGATTGTCTTTTCCTGATTTAGGTATCAGTGTTATACCTGCTTCATAAAAGGTGTTTGAAATTTTCCTTCCTTTTCAATACTCTGAAATAATTTATGGAGCATGTGAACTATCCAGTTGCTGAAGGTTTGGTAGAATTCCCCTGTAAAACTACCTGGGCCTTGTGCTTTTTTGTGCAGTTTTGTAATAAATATCTGTATTCATTCTATAAAAGTCTGTTTACCTTTCTAAATCAAATGGAGTCAATTTGGGTCATATGTATTTTCCTAGAAACTGTCCATTTCATTTAGGTTTTCAAATTTATCTCCCTAGACGTCTGCAAAGTAGCCTTTTCTGATTTTAAAAAACTTTCTTCTGGCTGGGTGCAGTGATTCACCTGTAATTCCAACACTTACAAGGCCAAGGCGGGAGGGTCACTTGAGCCCAGGAGTTCAAGACCAGCCTGGGCAACATATCGAGACCTTGTCTCTATAAAAAATTAAAAAATTAGCTGGGTGTGGTGGTGCACATCTGTCATCCCAACTATGCGGGAGGCTAAGGTGGGAGAATTGCTTGAGCCCACATAGTTGAGGCTGCACTGAGCTGTGACGGTGCCACTGCACTCCAGTCTGGGCAACAGAGCGAGATCTTCCTTTTTATTTCTTATTTTGTATATTATTATATTCTCCCTTTTTTCTTAATCAAATTAGTTTTTTATTAATATTTTCCCATAACCACAATTTCAATTTGTTAAAAGTGCTATTGGTTTTTTATTCTCTGCCTTCTTAATTTCTGATCATTACTGGGACTAACTGAGGGGTACATAAGGCTCTGCTATACCAGTATGTATGCATTTCAAAATTCCCCATATTAAAAAC